ACATACATACATACATGTGTATATATATATATTTGTTTATCTATGTATCCCTCCCCCTATACCCCGCTTCCAGCTAGCCCTTTCCAGCAGGCCTTGGGAGGGGCAACTTGTACTCGTCATTGGCGGCGCAGAACGGCAAGGAGAAGGCCGGGCTTCGGGTTTTGTCTTACTACCCAACTGGGTTGAAGGTTAAACGCTGAACCCTAAGATCCGCAAAGGGCAAGTGGCATTAAAAAATGCGAAATCTAATGCAACAGCTACGAGAATTGATCCAAGAGGCTAGAATTGATACTAAAAACCTGAACCCTGAAGTAGGGTCAAACGCGGCTGGATCCTAAACGCAAAGCTAGGGTTTAGGGTTCGAGAGAGTTTTTGGCTCAGGTTTGTTTGAGGGTGAAGCGAAAACTAGGGTTTATGTACTCAATTCTTGAATGATTGAGTATGACCTCTCATTGAAACTTGTAAACGGGGGTTCAGAGTTTACAGGGTTCATTTAGGGGCTAGGGCTTTCGAGCTTGAAATTCAAACCCCAAAGTAAGGTTTAATCCTGACTGAACTTGGGCTTAGGGTTAGGGCTCATTGAAGGTCAGCCCTAAACCTTGAACCCTGAGATTTCCAGGTTGAAATTTCAACGCTAAAGTAAAATCAACCCCAACCATCAGGTTAGGGTTCAGGGTGAAGGTTTAGGGTTAGAGTTTGGAGTTGAAGCCTAGAGATTAGGGTTGAAGGTTTAGGGTCAAATTCAAACTTAGATTAGACTTAGGATTGAGGGTTTTGGGTTGCCCGCACGATGTCAGAAAAAGGAAAGTCACTTGAGAAACCCAACTTGACTTGCAACAGCTGCACACAGCAAATGGTGCATTACTCGGACTGTTTACCTGTGAATTGGCCGAAAAATCCATTAGCTCAAGCCTGCTTGACTCTAATTCCTTAGGAGGACCCCCCACCCTGTAATAGTGACCATAAAGGATACTGGTAACTATATTAGGGTCCTCGTATATTCCTATTATACCACTATTACAGGGCGGGGGGTCCTCCTAACTAATTCCCATGATTCTTATCCCTTCCCCTGAATACTAAATCCCCCGAATGTTAAACAAGACATTTAGAGGCATAAGAATCTGGAAGAGTGTACTGTTAGAGGGAAGCCCTCAAGCCTCAACCCTAAAGCCCCAAACCCTAGATTAATTCAAGGGTTGGCTTGGTGGACAGTCGGAAGAACCAAGGAGATGCACTGGCGCACACAGGGCACAGCCCGAAACACTCGGGTTTAGTGTTCAATTTGTTCAGGAACTTGAATTAGAAGTTACCATAACAAGGAAAACCTATGATTTGCTCAATATATAAATATCTACCCATAGTATAGGCACTTAATTTCAGTTCCTTGACAGCAATCCAGACAGTTTAGGGTTTCATGATGGTTGAGGGCTTTGGGTTAGTGAAGGGGTCGAGGATTTAGGGTTTTAGGTTGAGATGGGAGGGGCCTTGGTGACTTGAAGGATAGGATTTAGGGTTTAGGGTCTATGATGGGGATTATTCCGACCACTAGGGTTCTTCGGTGGAACGCCAGTGCGGGTCCCCAGCGGCTTAGCATTTCTAAGCCTAAGCTGGCGGGCGCATGGGCAACATGCCCGCAGTAACTTGGGGTTTACAGGATATTGGGAGATTCCAAAATGAGAAGTAAAAAGCATCCCAACATGTAGCGTGTTCTCTTTGATGGCCTTTTGTTTGGAAAGCAACCGCAGCTAATCAACCACCGGAAAGCGCTAGTTCTAGGCCCTCTGCAGTCCAGGTGAATATGCAGAAGTTTCTGAAACTGTCGAACGCCTTCAACATGCTTCAAGAGAAGAGGCAGCTTTCATTTACGAGAAGCATTTTCCTTACTAGTGGTGAGTAGAGAAAAGAAGATAGCATTCAAGCATGTTTATGCAGGATTTTGGGAGTGGACTACTATAGGAAGCCATGCCCGCATTCCCAACCAACCAAGGGTGAGTTTCAGGGAGCGCTCGGGTTTGCGGAGTAGAGTTGGGACACGCTTCATGCAGACGGTTATTCGAAAGATAGAACAGATTGGGGTGCCCTACGTAGGCAATTGTAGGGTTTAGGGTTTAGGGTTCAGGGTTTAGGGTTTAGGGTTTAGGGTTTATTTGGTTTGGTCACCCAAAACTGTCCTTCAGCAAATGTTCCCATCGGCGCAAAGAAGGAATTCAACGGGAGTTTCTGGAAAGGAAATGGACATCTTTTCTTGGGGCCTTCATGTACGGAACTGCAGTATTTGGTGTACAACTTCTATTGTAGGCCTGATGAGGTTATACGCAAGGTCTTATGCATGCAAGACAGGCATGTCTGCTTGCAAAGGGTTCTCAAAGCACTTTGGCGTGTATGTTTGTCTTCGGCAAGCGTGGGCAACATACGTGAACAATTATGGCATGAGGACCTACAGTGAATAGATCTTAGGGTTTAGCGTTTAGGGCTTAGGGTCTAGGGTTTAGGGCTTAGGGTTTAGGGTTTGAATCCTGAACGAATACAATGATACCATCCCTGTTTCCTATGAATTATGATATGCGTGCTATGTAAGCCTCCTAGAAACCCTATTCAGCTAAATCCCCTCATGCTATTGGAAAAGCCCCCCGCCCCCTCATTGCCCTCATATTAACTTTTCCCCGATAAGAGACCTCATGGTGCCATGTTTAATATTCGAGGCTCGGGAATATTGAAGATGAGCATGAAGGGATTACCCTAATCCCTGGAAATCCACCCATTTGATCCCCGTTCCACTTTCATTTTCCATGTTTCACCACTTGTTTTTCCCTTACCACCCATACACCACCACCCATACACCCTAATCCTTAAACCCTGGATTAGTATGGCCTCTACAGGCTAAGGCCGCTTCAGGGATTGAAGGAGGCCTCTCAGAATCCAAGAAAGACCCAGGGTCCGGGCAGCCTCCCTGCACTGAGTTGTGATTTCAATTATACACACTTATATGAACCATTGTCTAAACTCCTAATATCCCCCTTAATCAGCCCAATAGTAGTCCCCTATATAATCCCCTATATATCCCCCTTTAAGGAGTTTGGACTATAGCTTATATGTATACTTGCATTCATGTCTTCATGGAAGTTCACACCTCACAGCCCAATCTACCAGGGCCATCGACAAGTTCGTGAACTGGAGGAAGGTCAAGCAAGGCATGAATAGAAGATAAATTGAGTCAGAATTTCTTCGTCGTCTCACCTTCTGCGCAGTGCAGTTGCGATTCCACGAACAAAAGCAGCATTTGCTTTGCCCGCACGGAATTGGGAATTGCAGGCATTCTTGGGATTATGGCGGAATTCCGTACGAAAGACGATGAGATAGATCGATATCTGGAGTAAGCAAAGAGAGGTCAATCCGAATCTTAGATCTTACGAATGCTCGGCAAGGGGCGCAGGGAATTATTTTGGAGTCGTCGAATGAATTAAGAAAATTGGATATTCAATTGATATATTCGCGTATTTGCAATTTGAGCGGCGCCATTTGGGCGATATGATATTCATTTGATTTCTTCAGGGAATATCCCTTTGAATTAGATTATCGTCGAATAATCTTTTCTATTTGATATCTTTCATATATTGAGAATTTCTTAGCAATTATATTCTCGGAATTCGGGGAAGATTTAGATTCTGAATTCAGGGATAATTGCGTCGAAATTGAATTAAATTGGAATGAATTTAGATTATCAAATTTCAAATAAGAAATTTGAATATTAGATCTTTTGATATGATTCGTTCGGATTAAAATTGAAATATATAATATATTATGAGAATATTTCGATTTTATTATTGGAGATTTGGATTTTATATTTTTTAGATGAGCTCGGATAATTATTAGAGGTTTAATAGAAATTTATTTCATTAAGATATACGGAGAAAGATTGATAAGGAGAAAAAATATATTTTCGGATATTGGAGGTCAATATTTTATATTAATTTTCGGATAAATGATTAGATAATGAGGTTTCTAGAGACGAATCTTGGAGAACTTCTTGATCTAATGCATTAATATTTTTGGAATTATACGAATTTCAGAAATATAATAGAAAGAATATTTAATTTTAGATTCGTATAAATTATGATATTACAATAATAATTCGATTTATTCTGGCAAATGAGATATTTTATCAAAATAGATAGAGGAATAATAATCTTTCTTCTCTATAGTTTCTTGAGATTGAATTTTGAAGATATCATATATATAATATAGGATATTAGTTATTCTATTATTAGTAATATATTAGTGAAATCTAGATTTGGGGTCTTTCTGCCATTCTGGAAGATGAGAGAATTCTAGCCAATATATTACAAGAACCGATAAATATTTATGAAAAATATTTTTTGAAAAGATTTTATTATCGATAGGAAATAAATGATTTTTTTTGATTTTATCGTAATTATATGACGGAATATAGAGGAGAATTATCATATTAGAATAGATTTAAATTTTAATAATTATGAAGATAATAGATTTGAGATTTTTTATTGATAGGAGATTTTTTGTCACCGAGAAATTACTCGTGCATTATCTCCGTCGTTTCTTTTGTTTCCGCGGGGTGTTGGGTCCCTGCACGTTCGGCGGGTGGTGGCGGGCTTTAATGCATGGTCTGGCGACCTGACGTCGTGCATCCTTTCTTCTTCTATGATAATATATGATTTTGCCTTATTTTCTTTCCTCTGCGTATCTTCCAAATGACGGATACGCATTTTGACTTGAGGAATTCCGTGGATAGAGACGAGGGATTTGGGATTTCTCTTTATCCTCCTGGAGGATTGATTTATATTCAAATATAAATATATTCATGCGGCGAGCTTTCCGCCAGATGTAATATGAATTTTCTGAATATTGGTCCTTCATATTATAGAATTAGGAGAGAGATATATTAGAAAAGATTTCTGGATCAAAGAATTCATTGCCAAGAAAATTGACGTGCAAAGGTCTCATTATATATATCGTGGCATCTTATCTCAGCGGCCTCCCTTGCGGGCAAAATTAACGTTATATCATTCCAAAAATTCGATCAATTCTCTCAAATCAAATAATTTTGATTAAATGATCATGATAATAATAAATCTTCTTTCCTATAGATTCCTGATATTGAAGCCTTGGGAACTCCATATAGATTAAATAATATTATATATTTTATATAGGGAATTAATGATTCCGCTGGCAACGATAAGGAACTCGCCAATTGGAATCCCTCTATTGATCTATAAGATTGTTACCTTCTAATCAATATTCTGAAAGATCCGGGAACTCATAATTGGGGGAATGCCGATGCCTACGGAAGATATTTTCGTATTATCTGAAAAGATTTTATTATCGATGAGAGAAAAATCAGAAGCGCCAGAGATTCCAATTTTATATATTATTGATGAAGAAGGAGAAAATTTCGAAATGAAAAGGAAGAAATCTTGCTATTCTTATTCGTGTTTAAATCATTTTTCTCCAATATACGAATGATTTCCTCAGAAAGAGAATTCTTCAAGATTTTCTGAAATTATCTACGTTATTAAATATCAAATAATCTTTCCTAGATTTATATATTTGAATTCGATATCTCTTCTCTTAAATCGAGTCTATTCTTCATAGAATTCTCTCATATAATAAAAAAAATCTAGCAATTAAAATCTTGAATACGGAGCTATGAATTTTTTATCAGGAGAATCATATCATCGAATTTATTTCTTTATATATCTCCTATTCAAGTACGAATTCATATTCATCCTTCATAAAATGAATATTATATTAGAAATAATCTATTGCCTTCAAGAACGAACATATTTATTTGAGAAAATCTATAATAGAAAATCCGGTAATCAAATAATATATAGATTCGTTCATGAATCTCGATTGCCTATTAAAATTTTTAAGATCATATTATATAGATTCTGAAAGATTTCAAATCTCCGATTCGAATTTTCACGTTCCGCCGAGTCGCCACGCAGATAGCCAAAGAAAGAGAAATAATTCGAAATCTTGGGAGATTTTTAATCAGGCGGTCCTTTGAGTATACGATCCCCGCTTCTAATTCGATCTTTCCGTCTTTAGCTCTCTTGGGCTATCTGGGAGGCGATCCGAGGGAACGCATATCTCTCCGTCAATAGATACGACCAACCAGGAAAAAAAAATATATTTCTCCATTCCGGATCTATATATTCCTCTGAAGAGCCGTACTGACAATCAAAGAGAGATAGATCACGTTCAATATATAAGCTTGCACGATCATCTCGATGAATAATCAATAAATATCCTCGCAGATAGAAAAAATACCCGGATCAATCTGATAGATTCTGAAAGATATTGGAGCGGCGGCTCAAGGAGAACGTATATATTATAAATAATCTAATTATTCTAAAAGATTTTGATTATCCTCCCAAATCTTCATATTCCTCCGAATACCCGCATCCGCAATCAAAGAGAGATAAACCACGCCTAGAATATAAAATCGCACGTGAATCTCGACGAATAATCAATATATAAGAATCGTACGTGATCAAAAACGACCAATCTAATAGATTCTGAAAGAATTAGGATCTCCGCCTAGGAACTACATCGAGCCGCCGCGCAATAATCGAATTTTATTTTAAGCGAAGCCCGCAAATCTAATCCGATCTTTCTATTTCTATTATCTTTCTTAGGTTATCTGCGCGGCGATTCGGAGGAGCGCATATCTTTCCGTAGATATCTATGATCTTACTATATTCCAAGATTTTATTTCGTCATCCCAGATCTATATTATCTTTCGAGCGATAACATAAATAATCAAAGAGATTTAAAATATATAAAATCATTCCGGAAGCGGCAAAGACGTACGAACAAAAATCTCCGAGATTTTAGTTCGCGCCGCCCTTGCCAAAATTCTGAAGTCTCTAATTTAGAATCCCTAGAGAATCTGCAAGAAATATTTCAAAAATGAATAAGAAAATCTAAGCCGCATGCGAACGAAATGACCTCCTAAATTGCCGCATCGTAATATTGAGATATTGAATCTTAAATCAGAATTTATCATTTATATATATATATTTATCAATATTCTAATAATATCATTTATAATTAGTCAATATTTCAATGAATCAAATTATAGAATAATCTAGAAAAGAAATATCACCGATATTTTCATTCATTTAATTTATCGATAAAATTATCGATAATATCAAATCATCGCCCTAATTATTTATCGAAAATATTTATCATTCTTCTAAGAATTTATCCATATCTCAATCTAGAGATCTTAATCATCATAATATATATTTCAATTGAAAAATAGTATTACCTTCCAGATTTTCTATCTAAATTGATATTCGTCTATTTTATATCATTATTTTCTGTTATTCAGATAGATTCATATTCAATCCTAATTGAATTATGACCTATCCCTTTGAACCTTTTATCCTTATTTATTGAGCAATCGGAGATGCCAATGCCGATATTGATGCGCCCAAGGAACAATTGACGCGGATACATTTTTAGAAGCTGTATTGATGCGAACTATCGCGGCTTGATTTCAGGCTATTAAACCTCATTTCACTGACGCGGCCACAATAGGAGCCTTTTTTTTTTGAAGAAGATGCAAAGCTAAGCAACCTGCTGTCGCAAAGACTATCGCCATGGGAAGGTCAATTTACTGACGCAAACTATCGCGCACACCATAAATGCTGACGCGACCAATCGTTACTTTCATGTTTTTGTAAAATCCCACGCGGGAGGTTTTGGCCGCTGCTCAATTGAAATTGGAAGAATTAAATATATTGTTGACTATTGATTAATCGTATTGAAATAGGAGGTCAGATCTTGTATTGCCTCTGCATAGATCAGTTAAGCATTGCCCAGCGTCCAATTATAAAAGTCAAGATCGAACCTAGCTCTTGATAATTTTCGTGACGTTGAAAATTGTGCCTTTCCACTTGTCCAGTCACAATCTGGTTACTACGAATATTCCCTTGATCATTGGAATGTCCAAAAATGTCGATGAGCTACACCCAGAAACTACGCTTACAACGCAGTTTCGAATACGCCCACGCCCTTTATGCTCTGGTACACGGAGAAAGAAAGTCATGTAGTGACGTAACCTGCGACACGCTGCGCTGATTTCACTCGGAATCTAGGGCGACTCTATGCCACAAACTACCCGGGCACCAGATCTGCTTCGAACCGGATATGTGCTGCGTG